CGAGAAAAAGTACCTCCGGTACTTGTCATTTACTTGGGAACGATCTTATATCGTGGCACGGCAAAAAGCAAGCGTGTGTTGCTCTATCAACTGCGGAAGAGCTTGAATACATTGCGGTACGGAGTCATTGTGCTCAAAACATTTATCTCAAGCAACAACTAACAGATTATGGAATAACTCTAAACAAGGTACCTCTGGTTTGTGACAATACTAGTGCAATAAACTTAACTAAGAATCATATTCAACACTCTAGAACTAAGCATATTGAAATTAGACATCACTTTATTAGAGAACACGTATCTAGGGGTGATTGTGAGATATTATTCGTTGAATCGAAAAGCAGTTAGCTGATTTATTCACTAAACCACTTCCTAGAGACGAGACTTAATATGCTTAGGATCTGAATTAGGAATTCTAGATATATCTAGTATTGCATAAATGATTCTTTACGAGTAAGTGTATATTTTTTTAACGAGGTTGATAACAAGTTCAATCGATTAATAATTGCATGAATAAGCTGAATATTATTTTTTTCAATCGATTGAAATTGCGAAATAATCTGTTGATTTCCGATTCTTACTCTTTGGTATTGATATGTTATTAGTTCAATCGATTAGATAAACTTTTAATCGATTTATTTCATTAATCTTGTAGCTCTGCACACCTTCTTTTATAAATCAATCGATTAAATCTTCGATTCAATCGATTGAATTCACTAATGGTACTCTGAATAATTTTCGTTTACAAAATAATCGATTTAATTTTTGATTCAATCGGTGTATTTCACTTATAAGTATCTACGATTACAAAATCAGTTGGTTTCACGAAATATCAATTGATTATTTTTCTTCTAGGACTAGTTGTATGTACTTTGTCTCTAACCGATTTCGCAGAGTAAACTGAAAGCATTTACAACAAGATAAACTTCAACTACTCTCTTAAATATCAAAGATATCCAATAAAAACTAATTGATACTTGATTGGATATCTACTGAGAAGGTAATTAAAGTGTACAAGTAGCAATTCTCTCTCCTCTTTATCATCACTTGCACGAAACAATAAATCGAGTAAAGACAAAATTTTTTTGAAGTCGATAAAGATTATGTATTCTCATTCCTATAGTATTATTTTCTTCTTTGAGCTTCTCTTTTCTCTATTCTTCTCGTTCTCGCTCATTCCAAAAATCAAATATGTTCAAGCGCACAAAGTCCGGTAGGAAGAAGTCCAGCAGAGGCGAGTCCTCTACTGCAAGGCAAGAACAGAATGTTGGAGGAAGGATTGAAACTTGGTTCAATGGGGACCAAGAGAAAATGGATTTGTTTATCCATGAATTAAGCGAGGAAGCAAGTCAACATTCCAAAAATGTTAAAGTTCTCCTGGTTTGATGCCGAAGGATTCAGAGGCATTCGGAAGTTACTTGCAACATCAAAAACTTCGGACGTTTCGGAGTTGAATGGTAGGATTTACCCCGACTTAATTAAAGTTTTCTTCACAAATTTATCCTTTGAAGGTTCCACTTTGACAACCCAAGTTAAAAGAGTAGACATTGTGATAACACCTAATGTCTGGAAGGAAGTTGCTTGGAATAAAAGATGTAGGTGTGAAAGTCACCAAAGGATGTACTTCGGATGTTGAAGAATTTAATAAAGTTCAATATTTCCGCTCTTGCTTGAAGAATAGGCATGATTCCGTAAGTTCATTCAACACTGGGAAGTTGAAAGCTGGAAGAAAGGATTCTCACTTTCATCGTTTCTTGGCGACTTACACCCGGGGGAGCAATCATGCGGTGCTAAATGAAGGAGATTTAGTTCGATGTACTGCATTCATCACGGAATACGTGTGAACTGGGTCTTTGTCATCAAGGATCACATGATCAAAGCCAAGAGACTTAGTGACTTCAGGTATCCCTATGCTATTCCGATTTCTAAATTTTTAACACATTTTGGTGTTGATGTTGAAGGAGAACTTGTTGAAACCATCCGATCAACAAATGAAATAAATAACTCTGTGCTTCACAAAATGGGATTTATTAAAGTTGATGGTGAATGGATCTCGAAAGAAGATGCTTGGGAGAAGTGAAGAAAGTGAAGAAGAAGAGCAAGAGGAAGGAATCAACACCGATATTCCCGGAACTTCAGCAGCGACGTTCGTCCGATCCAATGGAAGAAGTGAACCCAATGGAGATGATTCCATACAATCCACCGCCTGACCTGTGGCACTCCTCCGTCTCGGTTCAAAAGAACAATGTTACATCAAATGAGCGAACTGCAAACTGACCAAAGGAGGCATATGGAGATGACTAGCTGCTCCGAGGGCTCGGCGACATTATTTGGATGAAAATTTCATTGCAAGGTTCCAAGCATATTGATAATCAACTAGAAGACATTTACAACGGGATTGTGGAACTGCAATTCAACCAAGGCCCGGGGACGAATGAAGATTTTCTATGTTTCGTTATTCTGTTTTCTGTTCATTTTTTTTTAATGTTCCGGTTTATATTTGGGGTTCCCACGTGGCCCCATTGGATCTGTAACTACAACAATCTATTTGATGCGGTCAAATAGGGGGAGAAGTATTTTGCTTAAAACTGTCACTACACACACACCACAAAATATATGTCTCTAGTCTGTTATTCTTGTTTTGCAGGTGCAGTGGTTATTTGTCTCCATCAAATAGGGGGAGATTGAAGCACTTGGTGGATTTGATGAAGACATAGATATAACTTAGGTTGTGGGTGTGTAGATGATTAGGGTTTTTAGTTTAAGCACTTAATCTCTTGATAGACCATTATATTTTGTGATAAGCACCTTAAAATATTGCATATCATTGAAAATCATTTTTCTGCATGAAAAACTTACGTTTAAGAATTAAAAGAATTTTTTTTTTCAATCTGTTAAAATCACTTAACATAATAAATGGTCATACATAATCAAAAATTAAATTGATTGATTCACGAGAATCAACAAGTTAAAATAACTCAATGAATTTTCAATATCAAGGTTCGCATTTTCAATCTGTTGAAATGATTTTAAATCATGTGAAACAGAAAGACCTTTTTCGAGTCTAAGAGTTTTTAGAAAATCAATATGTTGAAATATTTTTCAATCTGTTGAAACGAGAGAGACTATTTTTTTAACTAAGTGTTTGCGAAATTTAATCTGTTGAAATGATTTTCAATCGATTGAAACAAAGAGTCGTCATTTTTCATTAAGTTGTTTTAATCCATTAAAACTCGAATCAATCGATTAAATGGAACTTTAAATGAAATCAATCGATTGAATCGATGTCTTAATCGATTAAATGGAACTTTAAATGAAATCAATCGATTGAATCGATATTTTAATCGATTGAAATAATATTCTGATCGATCATAGTTTTGTTCTAATCGATCATAACTCATTCTGATCGATCATAGTTTTATTCTGATCGATCATAACTCGATCTAATCGATCATACTTCGTTTTAATCGATCAGGGTCTCTTCTAAACCTGCTTTCATTGCTAACCAACTTATCTTTTGACTCTCTAAAAGCAGTTTTAACGGATGAAACGTTCGTTTTTCCGATTTACTCTATATATACTGATTTGATCTATCTTTTGAATATACAATACAACACACTACTTGAGAAAACTTGTGAAATCAATCTGTGAAACTTTCATACGTGACTTTCTCTCGCATTCAAGAATCTTTTTCATATCATAAGGTGCTTTGTGATCAGAATTGTGGTCATTCAAAGAGAGAAAGTGCTTGATAGAATTGGTTCCGGACAATTAGAAACTTCAAGTCCAGGTTTTTTCTTTTCATATTCTTTTGTAAAGTTTGATTGTGCGAGGTTGGATTGTAATCTGCACTTGGTACGATGAATCGGGTTTGGTTACTTGGGTGGTTTTCAAGATTCTGTCTTGTGGGTTTTGCAAGATAGTTCTTGGGGTAGATTGGTGAGTATCTACTTGGTTGTATTTTTCACTTGGTATTAGTGGAACTTGACTGGTTTGTCAAGAACTGGATGTAGCTCTGGATTAGAGTGAACCAGTATAAATTTGTGTGTTAATATTCTTCTTTCATCTCTTTTATTTTCTGTCTTTAATTGTGCTGTGTTTAAACCGAGTTACCTTTGCAAAGATTGAATAAAGATAACTCATTCTTCCAAAAGAAAGTAAGTTTTGCGAAAAAGTTTTAAAGTTCAATTCACCCCCCCCTCTTGAACTCAACCATTAATTCTTTCACCAGTGTTCAGTTTGATTAATATACCTAACATCTCAAATATAATCTAACTTCTCAATCCATGAACAAGACAGTTATTTTCCATGATATGATACTTTGCAACAATGACAAAAACCCACATTAACAAATCCATAGAACCTGACATCATAACATAGCCTAGATATAGATGGATGCTGACAACGAGTAACTTCAATCTAGTAGTCCAAAGGCACGTTGAAGTTAATCCTATGTATTAAAAGTTCAAGATATTTCTAAAGAAGAGTGATAGGCCATTGAAGGTTTGGGTAATAAAAAAATAAAAGGCAGTTATAATTTACCTATGAGACAACTAAGTTTTTACATGAGGCAGTTATTGTTGGTATCAATAGGCAGTTATTTCTCAGATAGAGGGAGAGGCAATCCATTTCTGTCACTAAAGCTTGTCTGTGACAGTATTTTGCTGCCATGACATGTAAATAGTAGGATTTTGGTAGAGTCAGTAATGTTCAAACATGGAAGGGAAGACACAGAGCTTATCACCACAAGTTATTTCTACTAAGTATGTTTTAAATAGTAAAGTATTGTGACAAATCTTGATTTTACATAGACAAACACACACACACACACTCACACACACACACATATATATATATATATATGAAATATGCACGAGAATAACTAGACACCGTGGAAATAGAAGATAATTCTGAGTTTTTATATAAAAGTAACAGACAATGTCGATATGAAGCTAGGAGCAGGGAAGGCAATAAGGACTTTGGAACATACACAATTACATACTATCTTGCGCTGAAAACTGGTTCTGCGTCAGGTGATGGTTGTGTCCTTCGAGTGTATTTGAGTAGCAAACCTTCTGAAGAAAGACCTGGCACCTTCAGATCTCTGAAACATCCAACGAGAGGTTAACTCAAATGTAAAAGAAGAGATGATACATTTAAGGTAAAATGTAATTATGAGATGTCCACCTGATATAGGGCTGCAGATCTTTCCATTCCCATTTTGGCCTCTCTCTGAAAAGAATGGAGAAACGGTCAGCTGGAGTGGAAGGCAAAGATGCAACACTGAAGGGGCGAATCCATGTCTCAACTCCAACTCTCTCTGTTAATACCTCTCCTTCCACAAGATCAAAAGTGGGCTGCATTCCATCTGGAACCTTCTGCCTCCATTCATCCATGAATCTCTCTAACTTCCTTTTACCCCCTTTCAGGATTTCTTTTGCAAAATGTATGCATACTCGCTTCTCGTCTAACTTCCAAACATAGCCAGGCATGCTTTCATTTACTTTGGTGCCATATACATTCAAACAATGTCTTGCTAGCACACCAGGAAATCCATCTGATTCCAGTGTACTCACAACTTCATCTTCATTTAAAGCATTAAGTGACCAGTCATTCAACACGGAATTTTTCAAAAGCATTCCCAGAATCATGTCCATGTAACTCCCATCTACTAATCTCCAATATCCATTAATCTCCACAGCGGAAAGAGCCTGCAGTCCAGACCTTAATTCCTCATCACTAGCTTGAATATTGCCTACAAGATCATTCCAGTTATATAATCCTATTCTAGATTCCTGATTGTCTTCTACATTTCCCACGTCATACTCATCAAAATTGTAAGGCTTTTCTGACAGAAAGGACTTAAGTTTATCAAGTCTGGGGGCTGCCTCGATGAGCTCCATATTACCAAATACAACTTTGATTACAGGTGCAACAACTTTCTCTTCTTCATTATTACTATCATTCTTTTGTGGATTTTCACAAAATTCAGAATGATTTGCTGGTGGTACAAGCAGAACAGAATTAGAAGTTCCAACAAACTTCATAGCATAGGTTTTGGATGGAGTACAAAGAACTGCATCTTCATCAGGCTGTCCTCTCAAAACCACCCTGGAATAAAACAGAAATCATCTTTAAGTTAAAAAAAATACAAATTGGGGAAGCTGAGGGCAGGGAAAGAGTTACAAGCAACTGATTGTCAGTCAATGCATACCTTTCATGCAGAACATCTGGCAGAAGTTTCTCATCAAGCTCTAGAAGGAGGAGGTCATCATAAGGTCCAAAAAGTGGGTGATATGCAACAGAAATAGATGATCCAGGAGCTATATGTTTAAGGGCTTCAGCCCCTCTTGAACCTGGCTGCGGCGATTCCATTACTCCCTCTCACTAAATACAAAACGTTTGTTAAGGGAAAAAAATGAAGATTTCTTTATACATGGCATAAGTTAGGGAAAGAAAGGCATAAGTTTCCATCTCTGGTATAGTATGAGCACGCTATTTAGCATGAAAACAAAAATTGACTAATAAAAATGAAATAAATTATAGTTTCCTTAGACAGAAATCACCATTCGTCTGTTTCTGTGAAATATCATTTCACAAAGGTTATCTTTTCCCTTGAGTACAGATGCTTGGTTCCTCCACATCTAGATGCTTTATAATGATTTTACGGAAACCCTGCATAATTCTAATTCATTGCAGTTTATGACTTAATGCTTTCAAAGTGTATATAAATATTATTATTGATTTTATAATTTAAATAATGGCATAAATATGTTTTTAGTCTCTTAAATTTGAATTAAGATTTTTTTTAAATTGATTTTTTAAGTCCTTGTAATTTGAAAAAAGTTTTAGTCTCTCTTTCAAAACACCTTCTACCTAAATATTGTAAAAAATGAAATATTGAAAGGAAAACAAATATATAGTAAGATATTCAATGACAAGAATACAAAATCAAAGAAGGTTATCATGTAAACGAATTTTAATTGTCTGTCATATAAATGAAATCCTTGACAGTATTTAGGGCAAAGGGACTCAATAAACAATTTTTAAACTACAGGGATTAAAATGAATCAATTTTAAATATGAGAGACAAAAAACAAACTTGCTGTAGACTTGAGGAACTAAAACATATTTGAGAAAAATGAACTAAATAAGATTAAAGGGTTGCTAAAACCTTCTCTCACCCTCTCTGCAACTACAGAAAAGTAGTCTCCTTTATCAGCATCATCAACAAATTCCTCTTTAATTTTTTTTCGGCGCTAAATTTGAAGCACCCAACTTCCAAATTCAAAAGAATTAGAATTATTAAAGTGTTATTCCTTCAATTCCTTCAACTATCCTAATCAATGCCCGTTCCTCAGTAAACATTTCAAAATTACTTGGTGGCACAGCATAGCAATAATCAAGCACAGAAACAAGTAATAAGTGACATTAACTAATAACAGCGTTCCTTCTGAGATGAAGAAACGAAATTACCTTGACGAATTCGTGTTATTGGTAAATATGGAACGCGATTCGTTCTTTGATCTCTTCCTTTGCTGCGAATTCGAACGTGACCACGGAGAAGAGGAAAACCCTTCGCGCCCAAATGAATTGTGAATTTATAAAATGTATAAATAAAAACACCCGCCACTTTCCCTCTGAAAATAATATTTTGTTTTCAAAGATACATTTTTTGAAAAAAAAATTAATTTTAAAGAAAAATAAATATAAAAATATGTCGTTTTATAATTTAAATTATATTAAAAATAATTACTATTTATAAGGTATGTTATATGCTACTACAAATAATAATATATATCCTTAAACATTAATTATAAGAGTCACATTTTGTCCCTTGAATGTCATAAAATTTTAATTCGAAAATTTTGATTTCAGGGACAAAAATGATCTAGAATTTTGAGATTAAAAAATCATCTTTAAATTTGTGGAATATAAAACTATATTTTAAAATTTGAGGAATAGAAAAAAGATATATAATTTGAGAAGGAAAAATAAAAATAAAAAATTATCAATTTTGTTTTCACATATTTTTATAAAAAATGGTAATTTTGCGAGAATTGTAGGTATTTGAGGAAGGTGTGAAAGAATTAAGATCTATGAGCTATGTGTATATGAACTACTCCATGCATGAGAATTAAGAATTGTACATTTTTTGTTTTATACATTTCTCTTACAAGAGTCTTCCAAAGAAAATAAGAATCAAATGAACCCTACTTCATAGTCCATCATCATATCTAGCACTTAAATCTTTTACCACTAAAATTAATTAGTGGATTAGAATAAAACACAATCTAGATATGAACAAGTGTTTTGTTTTACTCTGATCCACAGCTTTAGACACAATGCAATCCACAAAAAGACCTCATCTTCCATTGATAGAGTGACCCACAAGATGATGATATTGTTCACCATAAAATAGAGAGAAACAAAAATGAAAACAATGAGAACCCATGATTATATAGAAAGCTGTGTTTCTCTTCATGTATATATATAGAGAATAAATTTTGTAAAATTCTTGGAGTAACTCTGTGAAATAGAAGGTCTCAAAATATCAGGAAAAATGCAAGCTGTGAAAGAAAAGCTGATCAGTATGAATGCCACACGCAAGGCCAGACAAGAAGCAAAGGCTGAAGAAAAGGTAATGATAAAACATGCACTGCTTTTGAAGTGGAAGATTTTGCAGCACTGAAATGGGAATGTTAATGTTGGTGATGTTTTTTGCAGGCAGAGAAAGAGATTGCAAAAGCAAGAATGGATGTAGCTCGTGAGATCAGGTTGGCAAAACAAGCTGAAGCAGAAATGGATCTTCATGTGGCAAATGCAGGAAGAAGAGTTCAGCAAGAAATAAACAAACACAGAGACAAAAATCCCTCTCTGGTTCAGAGTGTCAATCTCATGGACGATGTTGCTGTCACAGGAGAAACCACAAAGGTTCCAACTTATAGAAACTAATATCTCAAAATCACACACATATATATATATATATATACATCTGATTAACTTGTTGATATAATTACATTTTTTGTACATTCAAGCTATAATTCTGGAATTACTCCACCCAAGAAATGCTTTGTAATCTAGAGAAAGAAACATTCAATCTATTTATTTTATATTCTCTCTATATAAATTGGTTTGTCTCTTGGGGAATATTGTTCACTGCAAGATTAGAGGACATTGTAACAATTTTTATTCAGTTTCAGATGAATTGTTAGCCGTAACGCGTATTCACAATGTAAAAGATTAACTGAGTTTATTCGTTGATTACTCAAATGATTGTTTTTAGGAAAACGACGAAGACCAAGACTGAGTCTCCAGAAAACGACAGATACATGCGCTGCATGTGAGACAAAAACATTTTAACAATTATAATTAGCCTTTATATATATATATATATATATATATATATATATATATATATATATATATATTTTTTTTTTTTTTTTTTTTATTATGTAAAAAATAATTCATGGCAACCTACTTTTCCTCTCTTCCAAATCTTTGGGATGAAGAAGAAAAGAAAAAAAGTAAGAAACAAACAAACAAACTCTCTTCAGTCTTCGCTTACTTTCTTCCAGGAAAGTGAAATGTGGAAACCCTCTCTTACTCCCACTTCTTAATTCAACTAATTTATTTATAATAATGATTAAAATAAGAATAAAATTTTATAATAACTTGGAATAATTATTTGTAATTTTTTCAAAACATAAAAGATTAATGTGTTATTTTTGCTAAAATGTTATTATATTATTATGCAAATGTTTATATGAAAAAGGATTATGCAAATATAGTTTAATACTAATTTTCTTGGTATGCACGCGTTTTTCATCGTTAACTTAAGTGGGTTGTTGATCATAGTTAACAATGACAGCAATAAAATTCGAAAAGGAATCAAATTTAACGACAAAAATATAAAATATAAATACCCGTAGAAAAGTTGATCACGTATAAAATATGGTACGCATAGTGGAAAATTTGTACTCAATTAAAATAGGATTATCCACATTTTAATGTATCATAACGTGCTAAATCATCACCTTAATAATATTTAAACACTGTCAAATTCACGACAAATATTTGTTTGTTAAATTATTAGAATTCAACTTGGTTTTGGTTTCTGGTGTGGATAAGTGTTATGTAATGTGTAAATGGTTATTTTAATGGTGAAACAACACAACACTAAAGAATATTTAGTGACGATTTCCATTTTCTTTTGATTCTCGAAGTCTCACACACCTTACTTGGACAATACCTCGAAGCTTCGCCACTAATTATTTTAATCCATTAATCTTTTATCCCGTTTTTCACACCAAGGCTTAAAAGTCTCAACCCTTCCCATTATATAAGTCCAACCATATGCCATGTATCTTTCAACAACACTTTCTAATCCTAAGTTATACTCTCAACTTTCCGTCACAAAAACATGGTCCGAGAAAAGAAACTTGTTGATGAAGTGTCCGGTTGGCTCAAAATCTATGATGACGGTTCCGTCGACCGGACATGGACCGGACCGGTACAATTCAAGTTCATGGCCGACCCGGTTCTTCCCCATGAAAAATTTATAGATGGTGTCGCCGTTCGTGACACCTTCATTTCTCACGGTGGTTTTGACCTCCGTGTTCGGTTATACCTGCCGGAAATAACGTTGGAAGACGACCAGAAGATACCAATTGTGCTCCATTTTCAGGGCGGCGGTTTTTGCATTAGTGAACCGGACTGGTTCATGTACTACCAAGTTTACACCCGGGTTGCTCGGTCCACTCGGTCCATTGTAGTTTCCCCTTTCCTCCGCCGCGCTCCGGAGAACCGTCTTCCCGCGGCCATTGACGACGCCTTTGACACCCTTCTTTGGCTCCAATCCGTGGCCCAGTCCGGTTCACATGAACCGTGGCTCGAGCGACATGGAGACTTCAACCGGGTTTTTCTCATAGGGGACAGTTCTGGCGGGAACGTGGTGCATGAGGTGGCTGCGAGGGCCGGTTCGGTCGACCTAAGCCCGGTTCGGGTTGCCGGAGCAATCCCGATTCATCCCGGTTTTGTCCGATCGAGCCGGAGCCGATCCGAGTTGGAAATGCCGCAATCACCTTTTTTAACGTTGGACATGCTCGACAAGTTCTTAGGATTAGCACTGCCGGTCGGGGCGACGAAGGACCACCCCTTCACATGCCCGATGGGCGTGGCGGCACCGTCGCTTGAAGGGATGAAATTGCCGGCGGTGCTGCTGTGCGTGGCGGAGATGGACTTGGTGAGGGACACGGAGATGGAGTACTATGAGGCCATGAAAAAAGGCAACAAGGAGGTGGAGCTTTATGTTAGCAAAGGGATGACTCACAGTTTTTATCTGAACAAGGTTGGTGTGGATACGGACCCCAATGTCAGTGCACAAACCGATGCTCTCTTTACCAGGGTGAAGGAGTTCATTGAGAAGCACTGAATAGGATATGCAGCTACATATATTCAAATAAATTTAAGGGTTTTGAGATCAAGTTGATTATGGTGCCTAATAACTAATTAGATGAGTTTGTTTGAGTTAAAAATGAATGTATCTTGAGTTGGAGTCTTAATTGGATGAGTTTGTTCGAATAAAACCAATGTTAAATAAGTTGGTTTTGTTTGTGCTATGTCTAAGTTGGTGTTCTTTGGCTTCATTCTTCTCAAAAACGATAGAGTATATTTATTGAAATAGATAGGTGTTGCAATGACTTGGTCAAAAAATTTTGATGCTGATTTATATTCTCTTGACAGACATTAAAAATATTTGATGAATGGGGGAGCCAAGAGGTATGGGTTTTCTTCATGATGAGTTTTATGTTATCTCAATTAACGTAAAAGATAAATATTATCTTTTCTTAAAACATAAACTTTATCAAAATCATAATTATTGCATCTATGATTACGTAATTAAATAAATAAAAAAGAAGAAATTACTATAAAAAGGGAAGAGGGAAGGATTCTAGGAAGAAAGAGAAAGGGAGAGAAATAAAGAAGGAGAGAGAAACAGAAATAGAAAGAGAAAGGGAGAAAGAGAAAGAGAGATGGAAGAAGAAAAAGAGAAAAAAAAAATTGTCTCTGTGAAATTTTGGTAACTCATCCGAAGTTCTTAAAGTAGGGGAGAAGAATATTATCATTAAATTTATTTTATTTTGTTTATAATTATGGAGTGAGGTGTCCCTAACCTCGTTCTATTTATTTAATTATTTGTTTATTTATCTCTAATTACGTAATGGTCATACCTTATGTTTGTTTATTTTATCTCCAGTCTTGCACTGATCCTATTTTAATTATCTCCAGTTAGGTACTGGTCCTGTTTGTTTATTTTATTTTATCTTCAGTCTTGCACTGGTCCTATTTTAATTATCTCTAGTTATGTACTAATCCTGTTTGTTTATTTTATTTTATCTCCAGTCTTGCATTGGTCTTATTTTAATTATCTCCAGTTACGTACTGGTCCTGTTTGTTTACTTTATTTTATCTCTAGTAATGTAGCGATCATATTTATTAATATATAGTTATATTATTTAATTATAATAATATCTATTTGTGAAGATTTGATGATATTGTAGATGAAGGTTGGACCTTGGGGATTTAAATGAGTAAAATATCAATGTGAGAGTGATTAAAATTAGGTTCACTTATCCTGACTAGTCACTACAAATTTAATTTAAATCTTCATAAAATAGAATGGGTTGAGGAAGATGAAACATATATATTTATATATTATAAGATTGAATTATTGTAAATGATAAATGTTCTCCCTCCCTATTGTGATCTTTTGTGCATGTTTTGTTTAAACACCAATTAAGTAGATGGATGCGCCAAATATTCCAAATCCCTTTTCTGCAAGCATCACTGTCTTATTTCCATGAACTACTTGGAACACAAATGTTATAGACAATTCAGTTACTTTTAGAGGGACAGGATTTTCAATAATAACATTTGTATCTGATATGGGAAATCTCATTATGTTAGATGGGCCAGTAGTGATTACCTTTTGTATGCCTCCTACCTTTTTCCAAAACCCCATAATCAGTTTGTTTCCACCGACAATGTAGATACTTGTAAAATTGTAGAAAAAAAATAGAAGGAATCAAAAATAAAATTCCTTCTTCTTTTGTATATCTTATATATAGTGATGTAAATTACTTTTACATATATGTATATTTTTTTATCTGCTACTCTTTTACAAATAATAATAATAAGAAGAAGAAGAAAAAAAATGTCACATTAAATGGTATCAGAGCAATGTTTCATGTGTGACCTGTGAAATGAGTATATCCTGATATCTTATGAATCCTAACTTATATAATTCTAGATGTCAAATAATAGAAGGAACAACGAGTTGACAGAAGCGGTACAAGCTATCCGAGACATGGTCGCTGCATTATTAAGGAACCAAAGACCTAAAGGAACCAATGAATCACAAGGTTTAGTTGAATTTATGAGAAACAAACATCCGCAATTTTCTGGAGGTTATAACCCAGAAAAGGTTGAATTATGGATTAAAGAATTGGAAAAAATATTTCAAATTATGAATTATCCTGATGACCAAAAGGTGAACTATGTTGTGTTTATGTTGATAGGAGAGGTTGAATATTGGTGGGATAGTACCAGGAGATTACTAGAAGGAGGAAGAATAATCATTACTTGAGAAGTGTTTAGAACAAAATTTTTAGAAAAATATTTTCCCAATGATGTGAGAAGAGCGAAAGAAATAGTGTTTATGCAATTAAAGCAAGGAAGTATGACCGTAGGAGAATATGCCTCTAAGTTTGAAGATCTAGGAAAATACTCTGCATTCTTTTATCACCCTGATGAAAGAATGAAGTGTATACAATTTGAGAATGAACTTAGGCCCAAATTGAGAAAAGCGGTAGGAATACTAGAAATTTCTGATTTTCCTACACTTATTCATAAATGCATATTTTTGGAAGATTTTGAAAATCATCAAAATAGTAAACCAAAATCTTTTGGACCCAGCATAATAAAAGGAGACAAAATGAAGAAAAACCTTACAACCGCCCCCACTCGAGATCCCAACCCAATCAATTTTCTGCAGAAAATTTTAATAACCGTATAAATAATCAGTTCAAGTGTTTTAAGTGTGGACATGATCATTATGCTAAAGATTGTCATCTTAAAGGACCTGTCTATTTCAAGAGTGGGAAACCTGATCATATATTCTCTGAATGTCAACAACAAAAACCAAATTTTGATCCTTCTACACCAAAAAGAAGACCTCCGACAACAGGAAGAGTATATACCATGAATGGAACTGAAGCTTCTCAGAATAATGATTTGATCCAAGGTATGTGTTTCATTAAAGACAAAACTTTAAATGTATTGTATGACTCAGGCGCAACTCATTCATTTATTTCCAATGATTGTGTCCAACACCTTGAATTGTCGACTTCTTTTCTAGATACTAGTTTGATTGTTTCAACTCCTACAAGTAAGTCTGTAATCACCAATAAAATTTTTCTAGATTGTTCTTTGTTCGTTGAAAACAGAAAATTCCTTGTAAATTTAATTTGTCTACATTTATCTCAATTGGATGTAATCTTGGGTATGGAATGATTATCTTCCAATCAAGTCCTTCTAAATTATGCAGAAAAATCAGTAATATTTTCAAATTCTGAAAATCTTTTGAGTTTCTCTACCAACTCAGTAAATGAGTCTTTGAAGAACAAATTTCAAGAATATTTGTTACTATCTTCTGTGAAAGTAAAAGAGGAAGTCGATTTGAAAAAATAGCAGTTGTTCAAAATTTTCCTGATGATATTCCTGATTTACCACCCAACAGAGAGATTGAATTTTCAATAGATTTAATGCTTGGAACTGGACCAATTTCTATGGCACCATATAGGATGTCCCCTTCTGAACTAACAGAACTGAAGAAATAATTGGAAGAATTACTTGGGAAACAATTCCTTCGTCCTAGTGTATCACCTTAGGAAAGATGATAGCTTTAGGTTGTGCGTAAATTATCTTCAGTTAAATAAATTCATTGTAAAGAATAAATACCTTCTTCCAAGAATAGATGATTTGTTAGATCAATTAAGAGGAGCTTCTATATTTTCTAAAATAGATTTAAGATCAGGATATCACCAAATTAGAGTAAAGGCAGAAGATGTACAAAAGACTACATTTAGAACAAGGTATGGTCATTATGAATATCAAGTGATGCCTTTTGGTGTGACCAATGCTCCTGCAATATTCATGGATTATATGAATATGATTTTTCGTCCATTTTTAGATCATTTTGTTGTGGTTTTTATAGATGACATTCTTATTTATTCTAAAACTTTTGAAGATCATGCGGACCACCTTCAAGTTGTTATTCAAATTTTGAAAGACAAACAATTGTATGCTAAATTGTCTAAGTGTGAATTTTGGTTAAAAGAAATGAAATTTTTAGGTCATGTGATTTTCAAAGAGGGAGTGTCAGTAGATCTAACTAAGGTGGAAGCAATTCTACAATGGGATCCACCAAAAACAGTGACTGAGATTCGTAATTTCTGGGTTTGGCTGGATATTATAAGAGATTTATTGAAGGATTTTCTAAAATGGCTATGCTTTTAACCCAACTCACCAAGAAAGGTCAAACTTTTGAATGGACAGAAAAATGCAAAAATAGTTTTCAAGAACTTAAGAAAAGATTAACCACTTCCCCTGTACTAGCATTACCTAACTCAACTGGACATTTTGTGATATTTTGTGATGTTTCCAAAATAGGATTAGGATGTGTTCTTATGCAAGATAGAAGGGTAGTTGCATATGCCTCGAGACAATTAAGAACTCATGAGAAAAATTATCCAACTCATGATCTAGAACTAGCCGTCATCGTTTTTGCACTCAAAATATGGAGACATTATGTGTATGGTGGTAAGTTTGAGGTTTTTAGTGATCATAAAAGTCTTAAATACTTGTTTGATAAAAAAGAGTTAAATATGAGATAGAGAAAATGGATGGAATTTTTGAAAGATTATAATTTTGAATTACATTACCATCCAGGAAAGGCAAATGTAGTAGCAGACGCTTTAAACAGAAAATCATTACATGTCTCTTCCCTTATGATTCATGAGATGAGTATGCTAGAAAAGTTCAGAAACATGAATTTATCAATTACCATGAATCTTGATAGAATAAAATTAAACTTAACTCAAATTACTAGTGGATTATAAAGACAAATTCAAGAGGCACAAGTAGTTGATGAATTTATTCAAAAAAAAAAAGAAGTTGATAGGACAAAAAAATGGAGAAAAATTTGGCATAGATAAAACAAGAATTTTGAGATTTAATGGTAACATATGTGTGCCTAATAATGTAGAGATTAGAAAGTTGATTTTAGATGAAGCACATAAGAGTAAATTAAGCATACATCCAGACACAACAAAAATGTACCAAGATCTTAAGAAAATATTTTGGTGGCCTAAA